CAATAAATTGGACATTCAAGAATGTTAGCTTGTCTCAGCTTGGTGGGTTCAAAGAAACTACCCAAACTGTGACTCTCCGCAGAGACACCCATGAAGAAAATGCTAGCAATAAACTTCAGGCCTTGATATTGTTTTACACTCCGTAGGAACAGTCTCAGCAGCCAGCGGTGGGACTCGACTCAGCACTTCTGCTGACACAGACATATGTCTTGTCCCTTTCAATGCTTCAGAGAGAGCTTAATTCAATCATTGTTATATTGATCCTGGCACCATGCGTTCTCCTGACACTGACCTACTGTAACAGCTTCTGTGTTTAGAAGTCTAAGCATTATTGAACATGCAATGACTTCAACGGTTTCCTACATAATATCTGACAGCCCCTAACGATATTTCTTATTCCGCATATGAAAGTGTGCATTGTGACCCATAGGAAAGAAAAATCACAAATGAGATCTCTTTAATATCTCCTAGACAGCAATGAAATTAAACGGAGGGCAACTGGCAACTTTCTTAAGCTTTTAATATGAACTCAAACATTTTTATATTCAATTCTTCCAAGACATCCACATTCATTCTACAGCTCTATAATCCTACTGTTTCATCAGCTGACTCATTTCTATAAATTTTTATTTCTATTTCATTGTTATAAAATACTCAGTATATTGTCAACAAATGTTGCTTTGATTTAAATGTGCAGTGCATTATGTATTGGTAACAGACATGCAATTCTTTTGGGAATTCAGATTGTGTTATGATAAATATTATTATACAAATATATTATTATATGTAAAATTATTATATTTCTATTTTTATTAATGTTATTATTAATATATATATATATATATATATATAATTATTTTAATTTGTATAGCAGCTTTAATAAAAAAAAGTAGAAAATATATTTCTATAATTACTATGACCTTTTATAAGCTCATATTAATTGAGAGAGTATGGACTATTTGCAGTGAAATTAAATGGAGGGCAAATGGCGACTTTCTCTAGCTTTCAATACGAACTTAAACATTTTGTAATAAATTCTTCCAACAAGGCCAAGACATCGACATTCATTCCATAGCTCTATACTCCTACTATTTCATCAACTGTCTCAATTATATCATTTGTTTATTTCAATTTCATTGTTGTAAAATACCCAGTAAACAATTTTTAGTTCAAAAAACTTTCTGGGAAAATGTGTTTTCTCTGTTGGTTATCCAGGAAAGTTTTCTTTAGGTATCTACAATGTTCCCTTTATGTTTAGAGAATGTTCCCCTACAATAAAGGATATCTATTCAGACAAGCTTTTTGGCAGTCTCAAAAGTACCTTCTCATATCATGTACTTCATCATAAGGAACAGTTTAAAAATACCTGAAGACAAAATCCCTCAGGTATACAGTCAGAAGGTGAAGCTCCCTTGGGAAGCAGGTGTGCTTCAATATTGTCATTTCCACAGCGCCATGTTCAGATCTGTTTCATCCACACACACCTAATTACATGGCATGTGTGAAGTCATTATAAAACACCTCAGCAGCCTTGGGATTATCTCATACTCAAGCAAACTAACAAGGAGCTTCAGGTCTGTAATTACAAGAAAATGGAGAAAAAAAAATGAAATCGGGATCTTTTATATCTACCTATGGGTGTATAGCCCTGCCCCCAAACTGCACATAGCTTCCTGCAGTAAAATAGAGATCAGACCATCAATAAGGGAATAGCGGTTCCTGCTCTCCTCTCTGGAGAAGGGGCACCACAAAGCCACTAAAAGCTCCCACCAGGCGCTCTGTCTGCACAGACATGCAGCTGCCTTTCTCCTCTGCTATTCGCTGTATAATATATCCACAGGAACATCAGTCGTAACAGAGGAAGGTCTATAAATACCGGGGTGAATGGAGCCGATACCTGCCTGTGCTCTCTTACAGCTCTTTATGAGACACCGGTGGTCACCATTAAAGTTTCTGTCCCCCTGACACACCTGATAAGGTATACCGGCATTGCAAAGAAAAGCTCTTGTGCACAGCGCAACTCATGTTACTTGAGATATTATGCGCTAAAAGCATGACATCAGTATCCAAACATTGTTTACAAATGTCTTTAAATAAAATGTTCAGTGCATTTGGGTAGTTGACAAATAACATGATCATTAACACATCAACTATATTTTTAACATCAAGATTTTAAAATATATATTGAATTGGTAATTGTCATTAAATTCTTTTGGGAATTCCTGTGTAGTGACATTCCTTACTTCATGTAAAACTATTTTAAAAACAATGTTGTTAATTCTTAGTAGTAGTGGTAGTAATAATAAAAATAATAATAACAATAATTTATTGTCATATACAAATGAATATGATCATGCAAAATATATAAATTGAAATAAAAACATAATTAATACATAAAATGTGGATAATATATTTAACTAATTACAATGACCTTTTAAGATATATATATATATGCATACATATATACTGTATATATACATTCATGTGAGAAAGAAAGGACACCGTATCAGGACATAATAAAAAATCATCTGGACCTTGGCAGGTCTTAAAATTTGGACAATTAAACCTCAGATGAACAACAACACATGACATATCACACTCTTGTCATTATTTATTTAACAAAAACTAGGCCAAAATGGAAAAGCCATGTGTGACAAACTAAGGACACCCTTACTTGTTAACATAGGAATTAAGAGGGTAAGTAATGGTCAGGCACTGCTAATCAAATTCCTTTCATTAACTGATCTTCAGCAAGTGTGAGCAGCTCTTTAAAAGCAGAACTTTTGGCAGTTTGCTCGTCTGGAGCCTTCAGGTGTGTGTCAACACAATGCCAAAGAGGAAAGACATCAGCAATGATCTTACAGAAGCAATTGTTGCTACCATCTATCTGGAAAGAATAATACGGCCATTTCCAAACAATTTGAAGTCCATCATTCCACAGTGAGGAAGATTATTCACAAGTGGAAGACATTCAAAACAGACACCGATCTTGCCAGGAGTGGATGTCCCAGGAAATTCACCCCATGGTCAGACCCTACAGTACTCTGAGAAATTGCAAAAAACCCAAGAACTACACCTCAGACTCTACAGGCCTCAGTTAACATGCTAAATTATCAAGTTTGTGACCGTACAATTAGAAAAAGACTGGACAAGTATGGCATGTTTGGAAGGGATGCCAGAAGAAAGCTTCTTCTCTCTAAAAAGAACATGGCAGGATAGCTTAGATTTGTGAAGCTGCATCTGAACAAACCATAAGACTTCTAGAACAATGTCCTTTGGACAGACGAGACAAAAGTGGAGATGTTTGGCCATAATGCACAGCACCACGTTTGGTGAAAACCTAAAGAGCATATCAGCACAAACACCTCATACCAAAAGTCAAGCATGCTGGTGGAGGGCTGATGATTTTGGGCTTGTTTTGTAGCCACAGGACCTGGGCACCTCACAGTCATTGAGTCGACCATGAACTCTGTATACCAAAGTATTCCAGAGTCAAATGTGAGGCCATCCCTCCAACAGCTAAAGTACATGAGAATTAGAAAAAAAGGTTAAATAGAGAGTAGAAACTAGTAGTAGTTTCAAGTAGTCACTACTTGAAATTTAATGTCAACTACCCATTTAACATTTTTGATGTGATACCTTTTTAATGAAACATAATATTTAACTCGAACTAACGTGTATGACTTCACTACATCCACTGGGATTTGGTTGGATCATGAAAAGTAGGCTCTGATATTATTGGTTAACTTTTTTCCTTGCCCCTACGGCCTTGGTTACATCAACAGAAAACAAAAATCTTTTGGTTAGAACTCAAAGGACATTAGAGTTCAATAACATGCACTGATGAATCATGCAGTCAACAGGGTCAATTCTAATTTCATGTTGCATTGGAAAAACTGCAATAAATTAGATTTCGGTGTATGAGAATGAAAGCAGAGGGAGAGTCGTGTACAGGCTTGTAATCAGAGAGCTGCTGTATCCACGTTTGAGGGAGTTCATTTCACTATTGCATTAGAGGCGCTGATTAGGGCCTTTCGCACCGCGGGAACCTTTTCATAGTACCAGAACTAATTGTGGAACTACCCACTTTTTAGCGTTTTCGCACCGCCGGAACTGGGTGCGATTTTAGTACCGGACTGCCTTTTTCGAGAACCAAATTAGCTCCTACTCCGGAGCAGCACTTGTAGCAAATGTAGCACTGCCAGTTGTCGTTGGAGATTCTTAGTCCTCATTTCCGTTCAATCGCTTTACGTATACGTCGACTTTTATTGTGAAACCCGTGAGACACAACAAAAACAGCTCCAATCACAGCGTCCTCCATCCTCCTGTTGTTAATGTTGTTCTTCTTTGTTTCTGTTGTTGAACACCGCGCACAAATGACATCGCTGTCGACCAGCTTACGTCACTTCTTAGTAAACAATGTCGGTGCGAATGCAACCCTTTAAATGTTACTGGGAAATAGTTCGTGCAAAATCGTCCCAGTACTTTAGTACTGTATATTTAGTTCTGGAACTAAAGCAGTGCGAAAGGCCCTATTGTTGAGGGGGGTAGAAGCAGGTGTCGCAGGTAATGCAAGAGATAAAGAATAAAGACTCGGAGGAAGGCAGCATGCTGAGCTCCTATTAACAACCCGCATTCAAGCAATATCAACACTGGAGCCTGGCCAAACTTCTTGATGTGTCTCATATTCAGAAGCATTTCTTGAACCGTTATTTACAGACTTGGTGTAATCAACTGGTTACGTTTTAAATAGACAAAAACAAATGCACTGCACTGACACCTACCGAATTTGACTCTAAACCAGAGCTTCTTATCCATGGGGAAACAGTCAATTATACAGTTTAGCTGTCATTGTACACCCATATTTCACTTCAGAATTCCACGACCGACCAATCAGAAGAGACACATAATAAAGGACTATATATATTTAATACCAGGAGCTGCAATCGCAAGCACAGCAAAAGGAAAGAAAAGCCTGTAAAGGATTAGACTGTACTCACAGCCAGGATAATCTGCAAGGAACTGTGGGCCACCTCCACATACTGGTACTCCAGCAGACAGCCGGCGATGCTGATGTAGCGATGGTCCTCCGGGGCCCAGGAGGGAGGAGGGGTCACTGGGGTCACCCTGCACCCCGGGCCGTTCTCCATCCACCAGGAGCGATGCATGGAGATGTTGAAGGTCATAATCAGGTCTGTGTCCTGCAGGAGAGAAGAATGAGTCAGAAGAGAAGCTTTATTAAATATTACCTACATTCAAGTGATATTTATGGTTTCTGAATAATCAGTTATCAATGTTTCTGTTTCTGTTTCACCGAAATGCAGAGAACAGTGGAATGGCGCCAAAACTATGAGTATATTCAGAACAAACGCCAAAGATCATCAGTGACTTAAAAAATGTTCGTTTTTCACTAACCACTCATAAACCTCATTTTCTCAGAAATACAAATTTGCACAAACATGCTGATTATATATTACTGTAGCACAGTTTGTGCTGAATACAGTAATCAGACGTTAGCCATTAATATGTTTATAAGAAACTGAAAAAAAGCATTGTCAAAATTTATCCAGGGCCCAAAAAACCCCCTCAGACCCCAGAGGGTTAAAAATGGTAAAGTTAGTCTATTTTCTGGCAATCGAGTAATTTCAATTATGTATTCAAGCTTACAAGATGTAATACTCTGAATGCTGACTTATTTAACAATGTGGGTCAAATAACAAGCACTCCAGAATATTTTAATCAAGCTAAATCCAGTCCACTCTCATTTATTGACAGCTAAGAGAGCAAGGCATTTCTCTCTAGTGAGATGCCTCACATTCTAACCTCTAGAAATTTATGATTTCATTCATTTGTTTATATTAAAATAATCATATATTCTGGCTCACGATCAGTGTAACACATTCACCCTACATTTAAAAAGTCAGACGTTGTCTGACACTGGAAATGGGATCCCTAGCAGCCATTGAAGGGCTTGTATTTTGTTGTATTATTAATCAGTTAGAAGCTTTTTAACATTTCGAGGCGCAATTATTTAAGTGGCTCTTATGTGGTTAATTTCGAGACATCAAAGGGGCTCACAGAGCAATAACCAGCCAACACATACTTATAAATGTGGCATGAGATTAATTCCACAATCAAGTGGCGGAAGAAATCACATTTCTCAAATCCCAAATTCACTTTTGTGTGCCATTTTTCAGCCTTAATGATCTGCACGCTGGTGACTGAAGTGTTTGCAATATCCTGGGTCATTTGAGTGAATGCCAGTTACACGAGTGGAGGATTATTCACCAGGGCTTCAAGTACGCAGAGAACATATTCAAACAAATCCATCAGTCTTAAGAAACACACGCCAAGCCTAGACACAAAGCAGAAAGAAAGAAACAGAGCTCTAACTCTCACACCTACAGATGCATGCCTGCATAAACGTGATGTACGAGTCGAGTGCTCCAAGAAATCCCTCTAAAGAGCAGCGATCGTGCATTTTAAAGCCAGATTTCCGGTCCTACAAGTGTTGAAGCTTGGCACTGAGTGTGCTATTCATGTAGGAACCTGAAGCTTAGAAAAACAGCTTAGAAGTAGTCTTAAGAAGTGCTTAAAGAAATAAAGATAAGAATTTTCTGACTTTCATTCCAAATCATTTAGATTTGAGGTCATCTATATGCTAGTGCACCACTAAAAACTGACAAAATGAATCTTTAGCAAATTTTTACTCTACAATTTAGTCTCTCTCTTCCATATTGATGACTCATGTCTAATCAGTGCTCTCCATTCAACAGAAGCAATCAAACTTTTTAATGCCATGGGTATTAAATGTGATTCCTTTGCAAGGTACATAAATAAATAAATGCAAACACATTAGAAAATTATATAAATATACATATAAATATATAAACATATAATAGTGTATAATACATAATGAAGTATAAAACAAATATATATATATATGATATTTATACAATAATTATATATATATATATATATATATATATAATACATAATAATAATGTTTTTTATTTTTTTATGTATATGCTGTGTATGAGGAAAAAATATATAATTTATAAAATATATAGGCCTAATGATAATGTTTTTTTTTATTATTTGTTAATGATATATATTTAAAAAAATGTTTTATATAATAATATACATATTTTTACTTTAATATTTCTGGCCCAAACTTTCAAGAAGTAAATATGTCAATTCTAGAAAAAAAAAAAGGAAAAACTAAAAGAAAAACAAAAAACAAAAAAACAATTATAGTAGTTTTTAAGAACAAAAAGATACCTGCTACTAAATATCCATACTAAAAAAAGCAGCTCTTTAGCATTTGTCGAAAACTTGCCTCCAGTGTTTTCTGAGGCAGAGTGAATCATCTGAGGGGCACGAGTCACAGTCCCCATTATGTTTTCTTAAAGGCGGCTGGAGGATCAATCACTCGGCCGCCTCCGTAAATGGCTTCACTGTATGCCCAGCCAGTGTGGGTGATGTGATAAAGAACTTTTAATCCATTTCAAAATGCACACTAACGGCAGACGTTTTGTTGAAGACTTGCCCAACCGCACACTGCAGTGTCTATCTCAGCGTGAGAATGACACTGGTCATCTGAAAGACTCCTGAATAACTCTACCCTGAATAAGCCCTGCTCCTCCTTAGAGGGAGGCGTAGCACTACTCGTTCTGCAGAATACAAACCGAGGCCTCGGTGCGCCCTCGCTTCTTATTAAAACATATACAAAGAACCTGAATGGTTGGATTGATTTGTTTCCACCAAATCAATACCCATTGTATAGCAGTTTAGGGAAAAAGCCTTGTTTGTCCTCAGAAACACATGTATCACGCTCCAATGATGGACATAAATGGCCATCTTGATGCAAAATATGAATCACAGCTTTGACTGAATTGTCATCCAAGCACACAAAGTACAAAAACACCTCTAGACTTTTTGAATTTTTGAAGGAATGATTTTAATTTTTTGCGTTCCGGTAGGCCTATTTGTTTGTAAAAATCCGGCATTTACAGTGCATTAGATCATGACAGTGCATGCTTGCGTGCATACAAGACGGAGTGAGCGCGGGTTTGGCTAGATGTATTTGGAGGTTATTACTCGCGTC